ATCAGTGCACATATCTCATCATCAAAATCAATTTCCACAATGTGATAGTATTGAAAACATTTATTGAAAACATTTAGGTGTTGAGCAACAGAAACACCTTCCGTCATCTTCAAATTGAGTAACTTATTCGTCAAGGCACCTTGTTATTCGCCGATGACTTTTCATACATACCTGATAAGGCTGTTATGAGATATGGAGTCGTTTTTTCCTTGACGATGATGTCTGCAACGGACCTCGATAGGGTCAATCGAATAACCCCCAGAACTTGTCGATCCAACAAATTCTATTCAGCCTCATCCATCCTTTCAGGTCTTTTCCGCAATAACGGGAGATGAAGTTTCTTTCCATAAAGATAATCCTCTATCTGCATTCTCCAATAACCAAAATCTGTGCCATCAAACTTCTCGATCCCCGAAACCTTCACTTCATTTGCAACCATCATTCTTCCTCAGATCTGAAACCACGCTATGATATTAGTTGTTGTTTTTTGCGAGATCTAGATATATCAGTTGATGTGGTATATATATAAATCAAATAGGAGAATGATCGACAAAGTGAAAAATAGAACGAAAAAAATCACATCAGAAAAGAACAACACAGCGGAACATACAGATCTATGTGGTTCGACAAATTGCATACGTCCACGGAGTTGCAGAGGATTTTACTACTTGAGGAATTTACACCAGTCTATCACCTCGTCTTACAAGAGGAATCTCCGTTGCTCTCTCTCTTCTTCTCTCTCTGTTCTTCTCTTTCTACACTGAGATACACCGAAGAAAACTCTACACTGAGATATACCGAAGAAGACAAACTTACAAGAGAATAAACCTAATTTCTCTTCTGCCACAAGCCACCAAGAAGAAGCCTAGGGAGAACAATCTTCTTCTTATTCTTTCTTCTTTCTTCTGCTGCAAGGAACTACCGCTTGCACTTCTCTTCCTCTGCCCCGAGGAAATATTCCTCTATCCCAAGGAAACAGAAGAAAAACTCAAAGTGTGACTACAAAACTCAAGGAGAGTCATCCGAAGCTTTTATCACGAACATGAAGGAGCGAAGAGATGCTTCACTTCACAATTTGTGAAGGGAGTGATTGGGAGAGCTAAATGGATTATGGGCTTTATAGATTCTTTTGACTGATTAAAACTTAGGGCTTCTCTCATCGCTTGATTTTTTTTTCTTAAAGTTGATTATATTTATAAAATTTTTGGTTTGATTTGTTGCACTATTAAGTAAAATTATATTCAAACACCATGAATCTAATCAAAAGTTATAAATATTAATTTTTTTCATACATTAAAAGGGCGAAAATTAAATCATTTTTTAGAATATTTTCTATTACAAGTAATATAACAATCACTAAGGGTTTGTTTGGGGTAGTTGCAGCTGCAGTGATTTGAGGAAGCTGTCGTGAAGTTGCAGCTCAAAAAGTTGCAGTGACTATTACAAAAATTCTTTTTTTTTTAAAGTCAGACCATAACTATGTAGCAGCCAACGTAGGTAGTCAGATATAATAAAAAAAAATGTAGCTTCTAGTTGCATCTTTTTGAGAATGCAGACAAAGAATAGTTTTATCAAATAGAAAAAACTACGATGCAACACTGCACCACCGTCCTAAATGCACCCTAAATTTTTTTTATAAAATTAATTTAAATATAATATCATGTTTTTTTTTTAACTTTTAGGTTATTTATTCCAAAAGTTCATCTAAAATTTTATATAGCAATTTGTACATATTTAAAAAGAGAAGTGTTAGTTATGACTCATATACCATAAATGGGACAAATGTTGGAGCAGTGCGAAGCCTACGAGCAGAGTGAAGCGGAAGAATCTGCTCAATCGGAGGAGTTTCATTATGTGGGTCTAGGGTGCAGGGGCAACACCCCACGGTTTGGTACATGGGTAATTTAAGTAATTACATATTATATTATAAGGTTATATATATGTGTTGTTTGTAAACCTAGGTGAGCCTCTGAGATTCTGAATTTTGTATTATGTACTCTTTTCTGAATATTGAAAAAGAAATTGTCGCTTTGCTCCCGTGGATGTATGCATCTTTGCCGAACCTCGTAAATCTCTGTGTTCTTCTGGATTTGTGTCGATTCCTATTTTCGATTCCTATATTTTTCTTCGCCTTAATTTCTCAACAAGTGGTATCAGAGCGAGGGTCAAGGGCAGGGAAGAAAAATTTGGGCGGCGCAAAAATAAAGAAGATTTTGACAGAGGAGATTGGCGG